GTTTCAAAGCTTGATATATGAGTTCCACATGTTCTTAAAGAGAGATGCTCTCTTTGGTGGGATTTTAAGAAAATTTTTTTTGGAGCTTTTACCAGATAATTTAACAATTGATTCGAAAGTGTACTGCCATCGAGTAAACAAATTGAGTAATATCATCAAACAGAAAAGGTGGTCAGAATTGATCAACAAAACAGGTGTAGTGTTTTACCACGAAAATGTCAAATTTCACACAAGTTTGGTAACTCGTCAGAAACTGTTATAACTTAGATGGGATGTGCTATCACACCAACCATATTTGCCAGATAGAGCACATTCAGATTATTACTTGTTCCAGTCTATACAAATTTTTTTTAACTGTAAGACATTTACTTGAAATGACAATGTCAAAAATCACTTGAATCAGTTTTTGTAATCAACAATCAAAACTTTTATGAATGTGAAATCATGCTACTACCAGAAACGATGACAACAGGTATTTGACCAAAATGGTCAATATATAATTCAATAAAATATTTATTTATTATAAAAATATTGTGTTTTTTTTCCATAGAAAAAAAACGAAATTACTTTCCAAACAATCCAATAAAATTCAGACAACTTATAATTATGATAAGTATGATCATTAAATATTATCATTTATGGATGTTTAACATTTTAATTAAAAAGTAAAACATTTGTAAATATAGTATGACTTGAAATTAATTAATTAATCTGAAAATAACATATCCTATATTCAGGAGTAGATTTAGAGGGTGTGCAGGATGTAATTGCATTATCCTTCTTAGGGTTTTTTCTGAGTAAATCCAAATACATCAGAAATAAAAAAAATTATAAGGCACATTGTTTCCTTTCTGCACTTCTCTAAAGATTTCTAGATCTGCTATTGTCTATACCTTTAATAAAAGGTATGAATTAAGAGAATAATAATAAAAATTATATCTGTCAGAATATAAAAACAATAATATAAAATCGTACTTAATGAAAACCACTTTTAAAATTAAATCTCCTATAGATCTATTGTTGTTTCTTTGAATTTCAATAAGTAAACAGAAGAGGGTAAAAGGGCATAAAAAAAGTCAACTTTGGGAAACTAAAAAAACTTATAGTCCATTTTTTTTAGAATGTTATAATGTTATCTTTTGCTTATGTATGTGAAAATGAAGCAAATTTGTCTAGGATGTTAATATGATAAACATACAAGTATTTAGTGACAAGTTATAACTACAATAAACTCAATTAAAAGTGATATGTCATTTTACCCTCTGACTATCTAAATTTCAATGTTAAATTATAGTTCTTCTAGCAATTTGTATTATAAGATGTGAAAAAAAAAACAAATTACTAACTCAAACAGTATGTTAATTTTTTGTAAAATTTTACATTTACTATATATAATATATATAAGACAAGAAGCTTCTCTTCTTGTCTTATATATATTATATAATAATATATTCATTCTCTTATTCATTCTAACAATCTTATTCAATTCTTAACAATCTAAAAAGTCTTATTCATTCTAACAATCCTTAATTTTATATTTTTACAGACTTTAGGAGTTTTTAAATTATGTTATAGGTCTAAAGTCTATATCCTATCATAAATATATATAATTATTGTATAATATTAAATATAATAATATATTAACAGCATTGGATAAACTGTTGCTTCATAACAGTTTATCCAATTAGCAGAACAATGATTATTTTGTTTCATATCTGATATATGATGTATTTCTTTTATAGTAAAAAATAAAAAAACAAAGAGAATAAATGGAAAAGGTTAAATATGTATTAAATTTTTCTATACATATTAATATCTGACATAGGTAAACTATTATTTACAAGCATGTCTAATTTCATTCATTTTATGGGGTCATCATTAATTATGTGTACAGTTTAAGAAAGAGGGCGATTCATGAAATGTACATCATTGTAAATGATGGATGAGGGAGTTGAGACATTGTCTGCATACTCTGTTTAGTGGATTGGTGACATATGAATTTTTTTTGATGAGCCTACTTACTAGTCATGTAAATAAACTATTGGCTAGAAAATATTCACAGAACTTTTTAAAGTCAGTTCTTTGATATCACGATCCATGAACTATTGTACAGGTAATTAAAGGCAGGAGGTTTGCCAAAAGTACATCATTATAAACAATGAGGAGAAAAGAAGGTCAAAAACTGGACACATGATTAACAGATATCACATAGAACCTTCTGCTAATAAAATTACCATAGTTTTGAAAATGGTACAAAAATAAATTTTTCATACATCCACTTACATACTTTTAATCTCTAAATAAAATTTAAATATTTATAGGTCTTACTGAAACTTCATGCAAAAATATTCTAGGTTTTCATTATTTCAAAGACTCAAAAGATTCAAAATGAATTTTCTTACTGTTATAAAGCTGTACACTAAAAACTTTAACAGTATTTTATTTTTGTGGTTATCTTAAGATTTTTAAAAGCATATTGATTTCAGTAACTAAATTAGTTTTTCAAATTATCATACAAATTTCAATTATATTTAATTATAATAATAGATTATATTAAAAAATAAATAAAATAATTTACGTTTAGTATAATATACAGGATGATAAGCAGCTTCTAATAAACTATTTAAGGGTCCAATTGCTGCTATAACAGTTACTGGATCAGAAGATGGAACTGATTGATCTTGGGCATCACCTATTATAGTTAGAAAAATCAATATCATCAATTCATTGAAGTATTTTAGAAATAACATTTATTGTTTTATTTTGCTTTAATTTATAAAGTTTTCATTTAAAATTATGTAAAAAAATGTTTTTTAAATCTGTAATTGTTTATAAATCATTTTATTTTTTATAATTATTAATCGTATAACGTTATTAATTCTCAGCTTTTTAATAGTGGTACCTTGTACTTTGAATGATTATAATTTCAAACATTCCAGAGTTTGAATGTTATATTTGATCAGAGTTCAGGCAATGCTTCTATATTCAAACTGTATGCACAGTGAAAAACTGCATTTGCTGTGTAAATGTGTTTTCAGTGCTCTTTCCACTTTATTTTTAGTGTGTTTGGTTATATATACAATCCTGATTTTTAACTCAGGCATCCAAGAAGTGTGTGGAAGCAATGAAGCCTAAGAGTAGTATCAACGATTAAGATGAAATAAAAAAAAATTATTGCAAAGCATGAAAATGTACTTGCGTGGCAGATCTGGTGGCCATGTTTAAATGCCGAAGTCTGTGTGGGACCAGTAAATGCAATTTTAATCTTATAATATAGTATTTACGTATTTTATTTACTATTTAGGACATTTAAATGTGTTATTTTTATCTTAAATTATGTATTTGCTATGTACGTAATAGGGATTGTTTAGGATCTGGGAATGGATTAATCTAGTTTCCATTATTTCTAATGGGGAAAATTGTTTCAGACTTCAAACAATTCAGAGTTTCAACAGCCTCCTGGAATGAATTAAATTCAAAGTATGAGGTACAGTAACATTTTATTTAAAATTATATTTAACAAATTCTGAACAAAACAAATTCATGCAATTTATTATTTAAATAAAATTAAAATATTGTGTGTTGTTACTTTTATTTAAATTTTGCCTACCTGTTTGGAGAGGTCGCTTATAAGTGGCACTGAGAATACCATTTGTATATTGTGAATATATCAATTTACTATCATCTGTACCTCCAAGTTTAGTATCTGGACAGACACCACTTTTTCCTGAACACTGTAAAAAGTAATTTGAATTATTAATAAAGTAATCTGGTTACTCAAATACAGTTTTTATTTTATAGGAAAAGAAAGGATCTATTTTATATAACATTAGATATAGCAATGTTTTCTTTAAGTTTAATATTTTGATATAAACTTAATATTTGAATTGATTGATATTGCAATCATATGATAAGTATGGTTTGTTTTATTGAATGTGGCAGTTCTATCCAAATGTCATATTTCCTTGATTCTAAGATGTATATTTTTTCACATTTTAATGTTCTCTGAAATTTGCAACTTAATTTCAATAACAAAATAAATTTGAAAGTTTGATAACTGTGGAAGATTAAATAACAATATAATTATTATTACCTACACATGAATGAACTTTATTGTATCTAGTTATTTATCTTGTTGTGATATTACTTCAATTACAAGCTTTGGTAATATTATACATGTTAGAATGCAAACTTTAATTGAAACCATCTTTTAAAATATCTTCAAAGAGAGTTTATTTTGTTATAAAAAATATTACAGTATACATGTAGAATATCATGGGGCATAAGCTTAGTTCACACTGAGCCTGATTCATTAGTGAAAGCAAAAAACAGAGAAAATAACACATCAGGCATGATGTTGTTTCCAGTGAATTTTACCATTTCATGAATCACTTAAGTTTGGAACTGTTGAGCTTTTTTGCTAGTGAAAAAATTTTGCCACCAATCGTATTCCACTAGTTGTTACATGGTTCTTGTTGTTTTCAAGATGGCTACAGAAACTTTCTCAGGCAATAGAGTAAATGTTGTAATTCACTCTTTTTAATATTCCTCTCACCTAGCATCGTTTTCTTTTTGATGTCTTTTTTCTCAATAAATAAACAAACATGGTTAACAACAGAATATCAGAAGCAGTCATTTTGTTTTTCAAGATACTGTTTTCTCTTGCTTGCAAACGATTGGCTGCTTAAAATTTGCAATAACTTTTTGCTTTTGATTGTGTGGATCAATTTTGCTAAGTGAATAAAAACTGCTTTTCACTTTTCTCATTCGCTTTCGCTATTCACTCAGTGTGAACTAATGTATAAACATTGTGTTCATTGTTTTTAGTTTTTCAATTGAAATAAGTTATAGGTCATTCTATACATTTATAAATTTGTGCTATTATAGATTAATAAAAATGTTTTTATTGTGCACTTTAATTTTAAATGTCTTAATAAATGATAAATTTTAAAATGGAAGAAATATATTTTGATTAGTAGAAATTATACTATAACATAACAATATAACAGAAGTAATATAAATATTTATGATAATAAAGTAGCCATCATTATTTAATAAATTATACAGTGGTGCCTCGTATAACATACTTAATCCGTTCCAGGTGCATGTCCGTTAAGTGAAAAGTTCGTTATATGAAATGCATTTTCCCATAGAAATATATGTTAAAACACACAATTTGTTCTGCAGCATAAAATAATCTTACTGTACCATAAAAAAAAATGAAAATGGAGCAGTCACCAATTATGCCAGATAGTCAGATTTTGTGAGGAGGTGGAGGAACACTTTCTTCACACATTCATACAGATACAGACTTTTTACACATTGCAGCAGGTCTCTTTTTATTGTTTTTTTAATCGGAGTCAGATTCAGGAGAGGCTACCGGAGCTTGTAGGGTCAACTCCTCTTGTTCCATCCTTTGATTTTTTGCAGCTGGCTTCTTGAAAAACATGTCCAAGGTGGTCTGTTTCTCTCTCTTCTTCAACACCTGTCAGAAATGATGGGCAAGGGTGTCATTGTAAAGATCATTGATCCTGTTGGCCTGAGCTGTGTTTGGATAGTGAGTGTTCGTAAACTCCTGAACTTCTCCCCATTTGACAAGGAAGTCCATGTCAACTTTCACTCCTTCTGATGATTTCTTGGTTTATTAAAATTGAAATCACTTTTGTTTTTTAGAAGCCATGATTTGCACAACACTTGAATAAATGTAAATACCCTGCACTGAGGTGATATACAGTATGTAATAAACAAGGGAGCAAGCCGAATCCCAATGGGAGTTCTGTACTTCAGATATACTAATAATATATTCTAATAATACTAATATATTATAAAAATAGCAGACTGTCATTGGCAACGGCAAAAGAGTGGAAACACCATTTGCACTTGTTCGCCTCACGTAACGGCCAAACAGAAAGTCTGTTGTTCGCAACGTCTGTTATTCAAGGCATACGTTATATGAGGCACCACTGTATTTCAAAACTATTGGAGTTAAAATTTATAATGTAGTAGTATAAAGTTGGAAATTTGGTTTTCATGTAATAACTAAATTTTAATATAGTAGCTATTCTATTTTCTTAAAATATCTTTTTATTAAATGAGCTAATAAAATAATTTTTTAATATAGCTGCTATTACATTGAATATATTTTAATAATTGATAATAAAGATTTATTCTATATTAAACACAATATAATCACTTACACTGCTATAGAAAACAATGAAAATATTTATAATGAGGAGCTATCAATACAATGGTGAAAATCTATGTGAAACAACCACTTCACACCTAAGCGATAATTCCAGCAAATAAACAATAAAAAAGGTTTAATGTTCAAACGTTTTCGGCTATCTTTCAGAGGCCCAAGTCAGGAAAAAACAGCTGTATCTCTAAGGTTAGAGATAGAGCTGTTTTTTTCTGTTCTATGCAATTTTTCCTGACGAGGGCTTCTGAAAGATGGCCGAAAACATTTGAACATTAAACCTTTTTTATTGTTTGTTTGCTGGAATTATCGCTTAGGTGTGAAGTGGTTATTTTAGTATATATTTCCAGTTTGTGTGTCAGTTTTTTATGTCCAAAATCTATGTGGAAATCAGCCAATGCAAAGGATTTAAAAAAAATCATTTTATCATAACATAGTTTTTTAAATTTTACAGTCTAAGTATATTGAATAACACAATACAGAAGACTAAAAAGGAACTGAACAGGTACAAAATAAATACAAAATTATACATAATATACTGTTTTATTTCATTTTAATTCTTTCCAAGTGGAGATTAAATTCACAACCCATGAGCATGTCTTTGGTAGAAACAAGTTTAAAACATGTAAACATCAGATGACCTTCACCTTATCTTCTCTCATAAATTGAGAGAAAAATAGAAAAATTTGCATTAGATATTGTATATATTTGAAAGTAAATTGCATAACAACATTGTTATGCAATTTACTTTCTGAGAATAACTATGACAGAGGATGAAAAGGATATATAATTAATTTTTTTCTGTTTGTTTTCCATTTGTTTATTAAAGATAAATGGAAAACAAACAGAATAATATAATTATATATAAATCCTTAAAGGATATTAGCATTGAAAAATTTGAGAATTTTTTTTTGGAGTTCGAAGAAGTGAATGGATTATATGTAGTTCATTGCAATGAGTTTCATTCAATAAAAACCTGTTTTTAAAATTATAATTGCTGCTCTGATCAATGAACAACTGAAAGCATATTTTAATTATTATAAAAATAATTATAGAATAACATATAACATTCTGTAGTCAATTACCTGTAATAATCATTTTAAAAAAAAATGAAGTCATTTCCCCCAATGTTCACATTTTCTTGAAAACAATCACATTCTGATGTGCTTGCAATTTATTATATCTGTTTAGTATAGCTACCATCGAAACACTATATAAAATCTACTTAGTCAAACAACAACAAATATGAACTGATTACAATAATACAGTCCTATGATTTTTGAGAAAAATGATGAATAGTGTTATAATAACCAAGAAATTTTATGTGAAGTGAAAAATTTTCAAACTGGACAATTAATGAGTATAAAATTCCAATTTCTGGATGTAACACCTTCATATAAATGTTATCATTTCATATATATATATATATTTACTATAATTTTTATTATCAAATCATTTTCTTAGTGGCAATTTCTTCATAATATCAATCTCTGTATTTTTATTTGATTATGTTATGCTAATTAAAAATCTGAAACAAAATAATTTGGCTAGAGGTAGGCAGTTAAGCCACCATCTCATGATAAATTTTTTTAGTTTTAATTTAGAATACTCTGAAAGAAAAGAATTGACCCAAAACAAGATGCAAAGCAGCAACTCCTACTGACTGTGCAGTTGCATTGTCTTATGCTATCTGGACCTCTGTCCAATCTTTGCTTCTAGAGCTATTAATTAATTAATCAATTAATTTAGGTTTAACTATACTGGTCATTCATAATGTTGACTGGGGATGATTTAGCACCTATAGCTATGGAGGGCTGTAGGTTTATTTGCATTTACTAGCCAAATTACTTTGTTTCATATTATTAATTAGCTTTAATATATTACTAATGTTTCAGATTATGTATGTTATTACATTTCTTCATAATTATAAGATATGGTGTTAAGCTAATATTACAATATTATTTTGCTTAAAATGTTTTGATGGAAACAATTGTAACTTATATAAAATAAAGCAACATTGAAAATTTTAAGAAATAATTAAAAATTACTATGAATAACTTTTATTATTGAAAAAGTTTTCAAAACTTTCATTCTAGAAAAAACAAATTGAGTTGGATTTCATATTAGGAAAATTCCTTTAACCAATTAATTTCCTTATTGAAAGTATTTTATAAAAATATCTTGAATCAATAAATTTTTCAAAATTTTTATTGGTATTCCTAAAATATTACACAAGATATGAATGTGGTTAATTGAATCTCAACCTTTGTGATTTTTGTTTATGAATTATCAATTACATACATACTCTTGGATGATTTAAAGCATCATAAGTCAAATTATAAATATTTTCCAGCACTAGTTTTAATTATAGTTGATTGTAATGTAGACATATTTATAACTTTTATATAAGTTATAGATAAAGTGAAATATTTTGTGTCCTATGATTGTTATAATACTTAATATAAAAATATATAAGCAATAGAGATACATATTATTAACATTTCTTTTTTCAATAGGTATCAACTGACCAATATATTACATCAATCTAGCCTCAAGATTATTGTAGAAAGTAGTCCTTGGCAGAATTGTTCTGAATAATTCTGGCACCTGAGGCAAGCCTAAGAACAGCATCAATGTATATTTCTGTAAACATTATAATGCTTTTTTAGTATCCCTTAAAATTTGGTGCCTGAGGCATCTGCCTTTCTACTTCATCTATTGGCACAGTCCTGGTTCTTGGTCTTCTGTTAATAATTTGCACTTTATTAAAAATATCATCATTATTCTTCAAGATGACCCTCCTCAAAACTAAACTTATTTTTTTATCATTGGCATAGTAATAGTATTGAATTTAAAGATAATTATAAATAAAATAAAATATATGAACTTATCAATATAAATATGAACGCAAAGTAAAGAAATAAAAAGTTTCAATTATCTTTCTACATTAACTGAATGATAAAGAAATAAAAAGTAAGAAAAACAAAAATAGAATATTACATATATATATTTTTTTCAAAATTAAGAAAAATATAGAGTATTCTAATAGTAAATAGTCTGGAAAATAGAACAAAAAAAATGCAGTGTTTTTTGTGTGTAAATAAATATTTAGAAATAATTTAAAAAGACCAGGATGGAGTAATTATTTTGATTTCGTACATTAGAGAATACAAAGAGAAGATGTAATAACAGTGCAATACACTAATAAGTTTGACATTGTACTATATATAATGGGTATCAAAAGTCAGCATAGTTGAGTAATTCAATTATCACTCACACAAAAATTTAACTTAGTTACAACAATGTACACTACTTCAGTTCCTCTATGGCAGAGATGCTTAAACTAACTATTCTTTAAATTTATTTTATATATAGTAGATAACTTCCATTCTAAATTTCATTCTAGTTTTACCAATAACTGTTTTTTTATTTATTGTCAGTTGGAAGAGACATTAACTGGAACTATTCTGAATATTGTACATAATTATTTAATTTTTATAATGAGCATATTAATGGAAATAAAATAATAAAAAAATATTTAGAAACATACTTGTGCTTTTGAAGTTATATAATAATCAACTGCATTAGCTTGTAATTTACTCTTATCATAATAAACCAGCACAATATCAGATCCAATCATATAAGCAATATCTTCTTTACCACTTAGTCCAAAAGCCATATATTCTTTATCACCTGTACAATGCAAATCATAAAATTTATAAATTAAAGTAAATATCATGTAATATATTTCATATTTAATAGTAGTGAACTTACCAACTTTTCCAACTAACTGAACATAGAGGTTTTTATCAAATATATTCCATCTAACATGCATTTTATCAGGAAATATTTCCTCACAATTATCAAAATTCATACTCTAATAAAAAGAAATTAATAACAGAACTTATTTTTAAATATAATTTCTAATATATATTTTATAATTAAATGGTAATAAGATTTACTATTCAATTATTATTTGAAATTAATAAAAACAAAACTTTTAGATGCAACTAATAATTTTAATAAGTTACAAAATCCAAAAATAATAAATGAAATTTTTTCACTTAATTAAAATTTATTCTTTACTTTAAATTTATAGCTTTTCTAAGATTACCTAAATAATAAAATGAATAAAAATTATCTTTTTCTATTTTTCATTCATTTTTAATTTTTTCTACACTGTGGTACTAATTGGAACTTTTTCCCATGTACCCATTGTGAGTTTGTGGCCCACAGGGGGGATGGTGAGTAATGATTGACAAAGCCCAACATATTCAGGATAGACCACTCCAGAAAGATTGTTGAGGATAATCATCTAAAGTTAATCTTAGGTCCCTTTGAGCTACAGGATGATGCCTTAACTGCCATCAACCATCTAGCTATCTGACACTTTACACTAACATTAATGATTACTTTGTGTATTATTTTGATTTTCTAATTTATATTAGTAAATTTAAAAATCTTACCATTGCTTTTAGAGATTGCATATCAGGTGGAACGTTGATATCTCTAGGAATTCTGACATGACCAAAATTTTCAGAAAACATAATACAATATAACCCAAACCATTCTATATCAAATATTGTTAAATTTCCTGGCAATGTCAGCAAAACATCTTTTCCAGTGTATCCTTTAAGTTTGCTTAAACTATGAAATTGGAAAATATAATTACATTAACATTATAAATATTAATTAAGGATAGAAAATATTTAACTAACAGGTTTTAACTTTTAATAGCTTTTCAACAAGAATAGATAATATAAAATTTAATTATTTATTTTTCTTTTTCTTTTATATATACTATTTATAAAGTTTGAAACTTTGTTGAACAGAAAATATTTTTAAAGAAATTTATAGGATAGTAGTAAACTTCATAATAAATGAATTTACATAATAAATTTTATTAGTAATTATTTTATTGCTTAAAAAATATTATTTTAAAAGTGACTTTTGCATTTTAAATAGTTTTGTACCATATAATAGCTGATTAAAAAACACAGAGGAATACTTAATTAACCATATGTATATAGTGTATAGTGTAAAAGAAATCAAACACAACTTATTAAAAATTTTGTAATTCTAAAACTGAATTGAACAGCAGAATAAATATTCCTGAAATTAATATGCTCTTTGAATGACATCATGTAACTAAGTGAATCTCAAAATAAAAGGTTAAATTTCAAGATTTAAAAGTTTACCTTCCATTTTCATCAGGAACTTTAGTTCCCATGCCATGAGGTTCATTTCCTTTTCCCACAAGAAAAAATGCATCTATATGAATAATATAAGAATTTATTTACAGATAAAGTATTTAAAGAATATAATAAATTTAAGAAAAATATAAGTATACCTGGTGCTGCACCATCATAATATAAATTTGATATAAATATTGTTTTAATGTTTTTAATAATTACAGGACCAGATTTGACACCATGAGCTAGAGAAGGTAAAGGACCAAGGTTTTTCTCTTCAGGAGGCTGGAAATTTTCTGGTATCTCAACAGAACCAAAATTAACCTGTAAATTTTGTTAGATTTTATAAATTTAATAATCTATTTAACATTCAAAATAGTTAAAAATAATTTAGAAAACTTACAGAAAACTTTTCACACCAAACTGAAAGCCATTTAATATCTTTAATTTTCTTTCCTTCAGGTAATGTAATAATAATATCTTTGTCTTTATATTCCCTTAAAACTTCTTCACTACATGAAGATTATAAAATTTTAAAACAAATATGGAAAGATTTTTTAATTTGAAAGTTAAAATTACTTTCATTTTTATGCATTTATAAAAGCAAATGAAATATTTCATTGTTGATTTTAAATAAATCCTGTTCTTATCAATGTTTTAGTAACTAATTACTTTATTGAATATAAAGTAAAATCTCACTAATTCAGAATTCATGATAATTTGACTACTATTTTGCTTTATGTATTTTTTTAAAATACTGAATTTGTTGCATTAACAATTATTCCTTTTTTCTTAAACAGATACATCAAAATATGATGTAGGAACAGTTAGAAAAGGAATTACAAACAAAAATTAGTTTCTTTTTTAAGCTCAAATTAGAAAATGTAGACAATGACAAAAACAATGCTACTGCTATGTTGCATCATAAAAGTTTATTAAATCACTGTATCTGCTCATTTAAAGTTCACAATAAAATCTCACTTTAAATAAAATGTACTTTTTGGACCATACAATACACATTAGGGTGGAGTTTATTTTTGCAATTTGTAAATGTGAACCTCCTAACCTCTATTTCTGTTGCAATATATATAGAAAATATTCATGCAAAAAATCTACTCCATTGGTGGAATATTTATTGGTAGCTCAATGTCACTGAAATTTTATTGGTTCCAAATAGTAAGGATGAGCATATGGAAATCACAGGCTTCAATCACAGTGTGTCAACAGTTTGTAAAACTGTACTTGGTTATCTCAATAAATAAACCATTAAATTAGTCACACATTAGATACATGACATTCCCACAGAATTAATTTCTGTCATGACTTGTGATCTTTATTTTGCTGACATCAGCAAGTTGTGCTGTAAATGCTTTTTCCTGTTTCTGGTTGAGGCTGACTCAGTGACTCATTGCTTACATCAGCACCTATTGGCTATTTGGCTTGTATGGAGAAGTTCAGGCATGTCACTAAAGGACTGCTGATATCATTAGAGGCATAGACTATATAATCCAGAAACTGCTCAAGCAAATCACATAATACATTTTTGTTCATTTTGGCAAATTTATTAAACAATAAATATGGTGGCAGCAGCAACTAGATCTAAAACTGAAGTGTACCTCCTTGGTTCAACAGGTAACTGAATTAACTGGCAACAAGTTGTCATCTTTACATCACCATTTTCAACTGAAACAAACTATCAGACGGTCATCAGCTGTTACAATTGAAAAGCTAACAATATTTTATGAAATGGCAAGGATCCCAATGATGGATCCAAGAAACTGCATAATTAAACTAGAACGAACTTTGAAGAATGGTGTTTGCTAAAGAAACACAAGGGGAGCCAATCTGTAATGCAGTAAGCAAATGAGACTATTTGTTAGTAAACTAGATAAACTTTTTGACATTTCTCATCTTAGAGCAGTTGAAATGATAAAAATTCCAGAGGATCATGAGTTCTTGTTAGCTCAGTGTGAAAAAGGACATAAAGGGTCAATGGTAAGCGTGGATGCAAAATTAGATGCAAAGGAGAAACAATCAGCACGAAGACAGGAATAGATGCTTAACAGAAAATGTAGAATGGAAAACTTGAAGAGAAGTGGCAAAGAAATAGCAGAACTAATATCTTCAAGCAGCAGCACAGATACTGAAGAAGAAGATGCAAGCTGTAAAGAAGACAGAGTAACTAGTGAGAGAGCAGTTGGAGGCAGATTATCCAGACAACAAGAGAGAGTCACTCTCTGCCTCTACCAAAATAAACAGATAAAGTTACATTGAACATAGTAAACATAGTACTGAAAATTTCAAATTTTGTGAATTGTGATGTTTAAAAATCTTTTCGTTACATTTTGGTTTGTAATCCATCAAGTTTTTGAATATTGTAGAGTCTACAAGACTATTTAATTTGTCTGTAATTGTCCAAAAAAGTGAAATAAGTCTGGTTTACCAAAACAGGTCTTGTATGTTTTCATTTGTCTTCATTGCTCTTTTTATAAACTTTGTGGTCATTGAGCTACCTCTAAATATTAATATATCAAGTTCAAATTTCTTCTGTAGTAATTTGAGACCAGTTGGAATAATTCTGGAGGGTATAACCAAAAAAAGTAAGCAATTTATTTTTTCCCTATTTTAAGCACCACCCTAATACATGTATGTAAAAACCTTACTAATTTGGACTATGCTTTCTCCCAATTAGTCTGAATTATGAGATATACTGTATTCTTAAAGCATTAATATATGTTTATATTAAGTTTATAATTTTCTAGAAAAAAATGTATGATTTAATTTATTGCAATAATCAAAAGCTTTAATTAAAAAAAGGCCACTCAATAAAATGAAAGAAAACATATCAAGCTTTATTTTCTTATAACCTTTAAACTTATCTGAGAATTAAACAGATAAAATGTAAATATAAAAATACTAAAAAAAATTTCAATACATGACAGCTCAAATATAAAATTTCTTAGACTGTAATGAAATAGATTTTAATTTTACTTTTTAATTTTCACATAGGAATTTTACTCTTCTTTCAAGTATTTTTATTTGAAAGAAGAGAAATTCCTATATGATGTCTTTATCAATTTCTTTTTCAATTTCAACTTATGAGATAATATATTTATTTATTTTAATTTACAATAGAAAATGTCTTACAAAGGATTTCTTCCCTCACTAACAATAGAGAAGTCAAGAATAATATAAAATACATTTACAATAATGTTTAAAACATACAAAACCTTGGTATAAACGACGTTCAACAATGTATACATTATGTAAAACATAATAAAAGTATTGAATGGTGAAGTAAAAATAAATTTAAAAATAGTTTTATACTTATGTAGCTTACTAATTAAGAAAAATATTAACTTATACTGGAACTAGAAAAAATTAAACAAATTACAACCTTTTTAAATATTCCAGCAAATAATTTAATATCGTAAGAATGTTTTTGATTGTCTTTAACGATCTTCATCAGTTAAACAATAAAGTAAAAAGAACATTAAAGAAATAGAACATAAATTAAAATTACGAAAAAATAATAATTGTGCATACGTATGTAATGATGTGTGCTTAATGGAATGAATACAAAAAGATAGGGATATAAAAATATAAAAAATAAAAAGCTCAACAGTTCCGGATTAAAGCTTGGATCAAAGAATCAAAGAACATAAATACTCTATTAGAAAGAACAATGATAGCACCGTTTTAGCATCTTATGCCAACAATCTTGAAAAGCTTGAGATTTATAAAGCCCAAGGGAAAACTTCTTGTATCAATCATAGGGATGCCCAATCTCTATCTACAGTATGGAAATCATTTTATGAAGATAAACTGTAATTTTTTACGAGGCATTAGTTTTTAATGTGGAACTGTTGAGCTTTTTATTTTTATTTTATTTTTTATATCCCTATCTTTTTATATTCATTCCATTAAGCACACATCATTACATATGTATGCACAATTATTATTTTTTTGTAATTTTAATTTATGTTCTATTTCTTTAATGTTCTTTTTACTTTATTATTTAACTGATGAAGATTGTTAAAGATGATCGAAAACATTCTTACGATATTAAATTGCAGTAGAGCATCGATTATCCAACCCCCGATTAACCGTCACATCAGTTAACTGACCATTCTAGTCGGCAAATTTCAGCTAGTGAAGTGGCACTACGATATTTGGCTATGTCTTGGCTACTTTAATATTATTTTTGTTAAATTTTTGCGTGTTTTAGCTGGCAACACAGCTCGACCATAGAAGGGAGCCCAGTATTCAAACATGACTTAATTTCCTAATTATGAGTGGTTGTTTGTTTTGTGAGCAATAAAATAATTTAAAAATAATTTTTAACGATACAATAGCGACGATTATTATTTTTAAAAATATTTGTTAGGCTTAACATCGATGAAAATTGAGCGCGAAGTTGGTTAATAGCGATATACTAATATACTAATTACATGGTATATACTAATATACTATACTAATAATGTATTTTTTCATTCTTTTCGGTTATCCGATTTTTTCAGTTATCTGACCAACCTGAGTNAAAGAAAACATATCAAGCTTTATTTTCTTATAACCTTTAAACTTATCACTTATCTGAGAATTAAACAGATAAAATGTAAATATAAAAATACTAAAAAAAATTTCAATACATGACAGCTCAAATATAAAATTTCTTAGACTGTAATGAAATAGATTTTAATTTTACTTTTTAATTTTCACATAGGAATTTTACTCTTCTTTCAAGTATTTTTATTTGAAAGAAGAGAAATTCCTATATGATGTCTTTATCAATTTCTTTTTCAATTTCAACTTATGAGATAATATATTTATTTATTTTAATTTACAATAGAAAATGTCTTACAAAGGATTTCTTCCCTCACTAACAATAGAGAAGTCAAGAATAATATAAAATACATTTACAATGATGTTTAAAACATACAAAACCTTGGTATAAACGATGTTCAACAATGTATACATTATGTAAAACATAATAAAAGTATTGAATGGTGAAGTAAAAATAAATTTAAAAATAGTTTTATACTTATGTAGCTTACTAATTAAGAAAAATATTAACTTATACTGGAACTAGAAAAAATTAAACAAATTACAATCTTTTTAAATATTCCAGCAAATAATTTAATATCGTAAGAATGTTTTTGATTGTCTTTAACGATCTTCATCAGTTAAACAATAAAGTAAAAAGAACATTAAAGAAATAGAACATAAATTAAAATTACGAAAAAATAATAATTGTGCATACGTATGTAATGATGTGTGCTTAATGGAATGAATACAAAAAGATAGGGATATAAAAATATAAAAAATAAAAAGCTCAACAGTTCCGGATTAAAGCTTGGATCAAAGAATCAAAGAACATAAATACTCTATTAGAAAGAACAATGATAGCACCGTTTTAGCATCTTATGCCAACAATCTTGAAAAGCTTGAGATTTATAAAGCCCAAGGGAAAACTTCTTGTATCAATCATAGGGATGCCCAATCTCTATCTACAGTATGGAAATCATTTTATGAAGATAAACTGTAATTTTTTACGAGGCATTAGTTTTTAATGTGGAACTGTTGAGCTTTTTATTTTTATTTTATTTTTTATATCCCTATCTTTTTATATTCATTCCATTAAGCACACATCATTACATATGTATGCACAATTATTATTTTTTTGTAATTTTAATTTATGTTCTATTTCTTTAATGTTCTTTTTACTTTATTATTTAACTGATGAAGATTGTTAAAGATGATCGAAAACATTCTTACGATATTAAATTGCAGTAGAGCATCGATTATCCAACCCCCGATTAACCGTCACATCAGTTAACTGACCATTCTAGTCGGCAAATTTCAGCTAGTGAAGTGGCACTACGATATTTGGCTATGTCTTGGCTACTTTAATATTATTTTTGTTAAATTTTTGCGTGTTTTAGCTGGCAACACAGCTCGACCATAGAAGGGAGCCCAGTATTCAAACATGACTTAATTTCCTAATTATGAGTGGTTGTTTGTTTTGTGAGCAATAAAATAATTTAAAAATAATTTTTAACGATACAATAGCGACGATTATTATTTTTAAAAATATTTGTTAGGCTTAACATCGATGAAAATTGAGCGCGAAGTTGGTTAATAGCGATATACTAATATACTAATTACATGGTATATACTAATATACTATACTAATAATGTATTTTTTCATTCTTTTCGGTTATCCGATTTTTTCAGTTATCTGACCAACCTGAGTCTCCAATTGAGTCGGATAATCGATGCTATACTGTATTTGCTGGAATATTTAAAAAAGTAGTAATTTGTTTAATTAAGAAAATTTAAACAAAATAGGTATCGTCTAAGTAATACACCATATATCTATTCAATGTATATTGTATTATTCTTGATAGATAGAATAGATCATTTTTCAAAATAACTTAGTTTCAATCTAATATTGTACAAATTTAATTTCTTACGTTCCAAATTCATCCAAAACAATATATCCTTTTGGAGATGGTTCAGCTGTATCACCTGCCCAAAAATGTCCCTCTGAAAAATATGTATAATATTTTTTATAATATATGATTTATTTTAATGAAAAAATTACATAGATAACATGTATATGTGATTAAATTTTTAATGTTTTCATTTATAAAAGAAATAACTCACTAGGTCCTTGTCCATCATAACTGAAATCCTTTATAAAAAAGGAATTATCACTAGCAGCATACACCTTTCCTTTAACTCCATGAGCTTGTGTATTAAAATCACCAATGTATTTACCGTAATAAGTCGTTTTTTGAGATTCTGGTTTCATCATTTTTTCAATTACTGTAATAAATTTAATACTTTTTAATTGACAAAAAAATTATAAATATTAAAGAATCATTTTCATTTTCTAAATTAAGTTGTTAGTTTTAATTATATATTTTTAATTTGTACATATTAAAATACACATATATATATCTGATGTTTTTAATATATAAATTGTATTTTTGTTACAAATGATTTAGAATAATTAAAAAAAAACTGATTTAATATGTAAAATATTATTAAATTTTCAATATAATTTTATTTTATTATATTATTTTATTATGATTTTGTTTTATAATATCATATAATAAATCTATTATAAAGGAGTAAGGTATTAAAAGAAAGTAGATCAATTTTATATTATAAACAAAATCCTGGTTAATAAATTAATTTTATTTTACAATAATGAAATCTATATTTAACTTAAATTAAAACCTGCTATATTAATAATAATTATTCAAAATCTGAAAATTTTTTTAACGTAAATTTAACTGAATTACAGAAATTTAAAAAGAATGATTTTATTTGTGATTATTGATGCTATGAAATTACATTTTTAAAAATTTCCTCATCTTTCAATTGAAAAATAATTCCATTATAAAAACCATTACAATAATATATCATGGTATTTGATATAATAGCATCTAAATTTGTGTGTATATTTGGAATAATATATTCAATTACTTTCAAGCCAATGCTAACTTGATGGTAAATTGCATCTGAAGCAAAACTGATTTTTGCCATCCCTGCATTCAGAATGAATTGCAAATAGAAAACACTTCTGGTGCTGACTCTTGTTTGAACTATTTATAAGCAATTTTATAGTGCACTTATGAAATTTTCTGCATTTAGTTTATTATTTATTTTTTTCATACTTTTGACTGCTCATTTTGCTGCTTCTCACTTCATCTGTTGAGCTGCTCCTAATTCAAACTTTTTAAGTGTCACTTTAAATATGAAACATCATATTTAAGAATACTCGTTTTTGACATACTAATGACATTTTTGTATCACCTTATCAATGGAATATCCTTTTATCTCTTATCTCATAAAATACAACTGGTTTTGGGATTGCAAGTTGGGCTACAGATAGCAGATTGAGATATTTGTAGGAGTTTAGATTTCTACATTTGGATGATTTGCTACTTTTTGGGCCACTTTAAAAATAATTTGGGCTACATTGCGAGAAATTTTGCTTTACTTTTTATAAAACCTATCCGGCAACCTGTGAGATTCTCACTGGACATGTTGTTTACCTGCAATTTATTTATATTATTATTACAGTAATTATTATTAATTAATGAAAATAACATTCTGTACATGTAGCTGTATTCCATTTGCTTAATAAATTATGTCAGTTACATGGCATTTGGCACACTGTACAGAAATATATAAATCTCAGATAATTCAAAACTCTGTAATTCAAAGTCATGATTATTTCATCCCTTTATTTTGAACTAACAAAGATTTCCTGTAATAATTTATATTACAGTAGAACCTCGATTATCCGGACTAATTGGGGATGAAGGTAATCCGGATAAGGAAAAATCCGGATAATTGAAATAAATACTTTAATTTGTCTTTTAATGATAATACAACACGTTTTCTTTTCGANAATAAATATATTCTTATTAATTAAAAGTTTTAAAATAGCATAATTGAAATTAAAGCATTACGATGAAAAATTAGTATTTAAGAAAAAAAGAAATATAAAATTAAATATTACTTAATAAACAATTATTTAAGGTCATTAAATTATTAATTCAAAGTACAGTTGAACCCTGATTATCCAAGGTAATGTGAACCAATACCACCTCAGATATTTGAAAACTTGGATAAAATGGATTGGCACAGCCATTTCAGATTAAAAATTATGAATACAAAAGATTGGTTCTCTTGGTTCTTTCTTAATTTATAAACCAAATGATTTTGATACAGATATTCTTTCCAAATTTCAATTCTCTAGAACTGTAACAATTCAAATAACTATGCTAGCATTTGATACATTTTTATTCTCTCTTTAACATAAATGCATTTGAATCACACTATCTTAGTGATTCCTCTTAGTATTATATAATTATTTATTATGAAATACAGAGAGTGTAAATAAAAAGTGTCAAATGCTAGCATAGTTATTTGGTTGCTGCGGGTCTAGACAATTGAAATTCAAATTGAATATGTGTATCAAAATCATTTGGTTTACAAATTATGAAAGAAGCAGGAGAATGTATTTATAATCCAAATCCCAGTAAAATAATTAATGAAAGATTTCATTGTTGTATGGGGATTAGTAATTATTGTCTTAATTAATGACATCACCAATAATAATGTAAATAAAATAAAATAAATAAATAGGTTATAAGATATTGCTTTTAAACTTCATTTTTACATAACACAACAACTAACACCTAAATGCTAATTCCAGCACTGAATGAATAAAAAAACCTTAATGCTCGAACGTTTTTGGCTGTCTTTTAGAGGCCTTCCTCAGGATGAAACATGCAAAAAAAAAAAAAAAAAAAGTCC